AAAGGGTTTTAAACTTAGACTTAAAGAACTCAGGCTTTCAATACTAGATCTTTTTCAGGTCTAGTACTGAACAGTACTAGACTAGACAGGCGAACCTGTCTAATGAAGGTCTAGTACCGAAATACTGCAAATAAATGTCTTCTTATACAACTTTCTCGCTGTGCGGGAGTCGTTTTTAAATTTGAACCTTTTTCTCCATAACGTTTTACAGATGTGCAAATTGCACGTTTTGGTTATACAACAATATCTAAACAATTAGTTATTTATACCACAGAACCATGGCAAATATGCAAGTAAGAGACTAAGCAAATGTTATGTAGAATAAGGTTCTGATCAGAGGAGAGCAAAAATATTTGTTTAGGTCTACATGCAAAATGCTGGGTGTGGCGAGAAAATAAGATCCTGGACACACCACATCAATCATTTAACATGGTTGTGGCAGTATTATGTTGTGGGTATACTTTTCTTCAAGCTGGATGGAAGTGAATACAGATTAATTGTTATGGAGAAAAACAAAACTCCAAAAATTGTAAAAAGAGGTATGGCCAAGATTTGATTTTCTGAAGGAAACACCCCTCAACATAGAACCAGTAACGTAGTGTAGAGATGCACTGATCTGATACCTGGATCGGATATCACCGATTTGATATTATATCAATCCAGTGCTCTTTACATTGAACTTTGATTTCTTTCTTTTTGCTGCTTATTTGTTAATAAATATGATAAAGTACATGTATATCTTTGTTGGTAAAATTTTTTATCAATTTTTATGTCAGGGCTAAATCCTTCACTCACATGGCAAGACAGATGGTCCATTCATATGTCGAATCAGATTGGAGTCCAATGTCGGAATCCAATGTGGGCCGATATGGTCAGCCCAGGTATCGATATCCGATTGGATTGGAAAAAAAATGATCAGTGCATCTCCACTGATGAAATATTTTAGATAAAACAAAAGCATAACAATGCACTGAAGTGGACCAGTTAAAGTCCAGACTGCAAAAAAAAAAAAAAAAAGCTGAAAATATGTGGCTTAAAATCTTAAAGCTGATATTCAGTTTTACTTCATTCATTCTTATTCAACCTGAGCTATTTTATGAATACAAAGAGGAAGTACATAAATGGGTGAAGGTGGTATAGACACACCAAAAAGACCTGTAGCTTCACAATTATCCAAATTAAATACCACTGATTCTAGTTATGTGGCACATCAGGATAAAGCTCAAGAGTAAAAACAAAACTTTAATTAGACATTTTTAATCAGGTTCTTAGGAGAATCATACAAAAGTGAAGCTATTTTTTATTTCATTAATTTGGTTTTGACTTGAAGTTAACAGTTCAAAGGGACAGAGCTCTGTACTTGCAGGAGCACGCTTGACTGACACTTTATCTTCTCTCTTATAGGCCAGGCCTCGTCTGCAAAGGGGAGGTAGCTCTGCCTCTCTGCACAACAGTTTGATGAGGAACAGTATTTTCCAACTGATGATTCACACACTTGACCCTTTAAGTGAAGGTAAGACCACTTGTAGAACAGAAAAATATATATATACTTTTAGAGAACAGAGACCAAAATAATCGAATGCCTGTGCATTTTTTATGGGCAGACTGACATCAACCATGTGTTTTCATTCTTTACTTTCTCTGTTGAATTTATTGTTTATTGGTAAAGAAACAATTACGGAAAGGAGGATGATTTTCTTCTGGGATGCAACTAGTTTCCCATTACAAATCTTTGCTAAATGGTTTAAGTATGCACACAAATCTGAGGGTGGTTTATTTAGTGGAATGTGGAGGAGCCAGGTAGCAGCAACGATAGCTCCTCTAAGATATGCTGCCTGCATGCATCAGAATGGTTTGGCAATCAGAGACTTTAAATCCTTTTGTTTCCCGTTTTACATTAATTGTATAAAACACTCTTGACAAGGTGGCTTCAGAGCACCTCCGGCCATAACTCTGGCTGACATCTGAAAGCTCTTGTGCAGTAGCTAAATTAAATGGTCCACAGTGTCATGCTGATACATAGAGGAGGAGCATATTGCAACATTTGTTTTTTCTCCATTTAGAAACGTGGAATGATGACACTCATAGTACTAGAGAAAAAACAAGCAGATTCAAGAGCTGCTTTAGTATCTTAAACCCATTCCAATTAGTTTTGACTTAAATATAATACAGTTTATCGGGTTGGAGCAGGCACAGGAGGTTTATGTGTGTGCATGTGTCTGTGTCCAGGCCTTTTTAAAACTATACTGAGAAAGACATAGAGTTAGAATAGTGTAATTATGGGAAAAAAAGAAAAAGAAAACATATTTGAAGTGTTTGCAGTTTCATTTTGAGATGCATTTATTTAGTTCTCTTATAACTATGTAGATAATGGAGTGTTAATGGTATATATTCAACAATTGGTGTTTCTCACAATGGTTTTGGATTCCCAGTTTTTTAAAAGGTAAATTTTGCTTAATAAATTCATGTATTAACAATAGACAAAGTAAAGGTAAACTGTTCATTTTTTATGTCACTGAAAGCCTATTTGAATCTGACGTCTGCATATACTCACCTAGGCAAATGTGCAGTATATTTATAATCTGATCAAAGCTGATAAATAACACTTTATTCTTCATATTATAACATATTCTTTTTATGTATTGTTGTGAAATATTCTGTATTTGTAAGTGTTGCAACCTTCGTTGTTTGCAAATTCGTTTTGACTACTAACAGACAGCGGTATGTTTATTGTATATAAATGTGTCTTGACTAATCCAGATCTCTGAATACCAGTCAGATGTGTTTAAACTTCCACCTGTCTCTGCCTACTGTGCTATGATCCAGAGTACAAAGATGTGCAAAGAGCTTAGCATGTGCTCCTCTCCAAATTGGGGAGAAGACCCCATAGATCTAAACTGCAGATTGCTGAGAAGTTAGTCAGCTTCTTCTAGTTGAATTTTAGATGCAAAATTACACAGAACCCTGGCATTAGCGCCATACAGATACTGGGTTAATACTTGTACCAGTACAGAGTAATAAAAATAAAAGCGTAATTATGGTAAATATTTGATTTTATTTATTTTTTATTCCTTTTGACATTTTTGCTGAACATACTCCATGGGCTGGAACATTTAGTTATTTTGTATGGATAGCATTTATAGTTACAAGTACAAAAATATGCACATAGTATCGGACCCAATATTGATATTGATATTTCAGATAGATATCCCTGCCTGGTATTGTAATTATCAAAAATATAAAGCACATGCTGCAGATTTGTTTAAAAAATAAAATAAAATTCCTGCACTCCTAATCGAAGACAACTTTCTGGTTATGGTTCTCTGTATGATTATTTCACTATAAAAAACAAAACATTTCCCACAATTTTGTTCTGTACTAAATTTTTTAAGTAGATATGCTTTAGCTCTTCCTCTACTCCTGTTTATAGTTACTTGGTGAAATTATCTGCTCGACAGCAGCTTATTCTCACACTGGTAGGAAATTGATAAATAGTCTCTAAAATTGTTCAACTTGCTGTAAGTGAGCTGCCAATTTGTCTAGCTATTCCTCCAGATTCAAAATACTTCTGCTGATGTGACTAAAATAGCGCATATTAATAAATACTTCACAAAACCTCTCTTCAAAAATCTTAACTTTCCCTTTAATCCACTTTTCAGCTTGATAGTTTAGTGCTGATCAGAGCTGTAAGGCCCTCCCTCTAAGATTCTTGTGAGCTCGCAATCATCCCAACAAAGAGCAGCGCCAAGAGTCCTCAAAGATTTTTATGTAATTCCCACATGAAAATAAATTCAGCAAGAGTCACATTAACCTCTTGCGAATCTAAACTGAATCCATCAAACCTCAGAAACACCAGTGGAGATCTGTTATAGTGTATGTCTAGACTGATTCATTCTCTTTAAATGAACTGTCCAGAGCAGGCATGGTGCTACTTTACAGCACAGCTGAGGTGCTAGTTCATTTGTCTTTAATCCAAGATGATGGCTTATTAGCTACTCTAAGCAAACAGTAAAACAGCTGTGTCAGGGATCTGGGGGAGGGAATGAATATGTTAATATGCTGGCATAGATGCTATGTCATTTATAATTAGTGGTAAAATAAGACACTTTGTCTTTATAAGGAACAGATCGAATGAGGATATTTTAGAAGTTTGTATTTAGTTATTTCTTTCTGCAGTTTGAAACTTACAGGGACATGCAAAAATATTTATAGCCCTCGGATAACTTTAAACAGCTGTGTTTTGGGGGACTTTTTGTGATAGACAAAGTAGTGCTGATTTTTAGAAGGGAGGTATTGCACAGTTTTTCAGTATTTGCTACAGACAATTTAGACAAACATAAAATGATAAGTGTTTTATCTCCAGTTTGCCAAAAACCATGTAGGGGCTAAAGTGGAAGAAGCGGTGCTTCTGTCAAATTACGATCAACAAAACTTGAATTTTAAAGCTCAAGTTCAAGCTTATTACTTTTGTAAGGTGCTGTGTATTACACAGTTATAGTATTCATGATTCTTAATATTGCAACACAACATCATACCCAATTGAAACAGAAAATAGTCATAAACCAAAATGATTAGACTGGAGAGTTCTCCTGTGGCATTAGCAGGTGTCTAATGAGTAGTGATAATGAACTTTAGCTTTACTTGGAGAACAATTTATTTCCTTGAAATTCAAAACATTTCATGACTCATCTTAGTAGTGATTCACAAACAATAATTGTCGCCTTTTGAATGATGCATCAATCTGTGCTGGGAATACAAAACAACTTGTGTCACTGTATATTTATCCTTTCATCAAAATGAATAAAAGTATAAATCCCACAGTGGTAGATCGGCTTGTGTTTATGTGTACTCATATATTTGCACAGTCAAATGAGTGCTCTAATAAGATTTTCACCCAGGTTTACACCTTCAGATCTGACTAAACTGATTTTTTGCCTTTAGATTAAGTGCTTGTGAGCTGATGAATAGCTAAAGAGTTTAACAGCAGTTTTTTTTAGTGCAGAACAAATTTCTCCGGACTTGACTGACGGTTCTTTTGCCAAACAAATGACTAGAGCTGAATGCACTGAAACAGCAAGTGGAGTGTGACACGACGTGCACAATGAATAAATTACTCAAGAGAACAAAAGCAACACCTAAGGCTTCGGCTCATTTGAATATATTAATTAGGAATTTCCATGTCGCGTTTTAAAGAGATTTGTCATTCCCTAGAATATATATATACAAATTATATTCTTATTTTGCTCTAAAAAGGAAATTTTTACCTGTTCATATACTGTAATACATGATTTTACATTTTGTATTGAAGTAAAATATATCTTTGCTAAAGAGCTCAGAGAATGAAGAAAAATAAACAAGTGCATTCATCAAAGATGGAAAGCGTTCTGCGTGTCCTTGTATGTTCTCGGCCTTTAAGAGCAGTTCATTGGGGCTTCAGGGAAATAGCAGAACTCCATCCATCCATTTTTTATGGGCCTCTCAAAATAAGCTGTCTCTGCCTCCATGCTGAATGAAGGTCTGAGGTTGTTTTATCAGAGCTTGCAAATACTTTTCCTCTTGTTAGTCTTTTGGGAAAGACTAGTTAGTTTAATTGTGTTGGACGTGCATGTGTGCATGTTTATGTTTGCGCTCAGGTTTTAAACTTTCAGCCTTTTACCTTTTCCTTATTTTCTCCTGGGGCAATCAAAGCCACACACTGATTCCAAGATGGACATTTTTTGTTATATTTAGCTTAGAGGCCTAACCTTTTTTTTTATCATCATTAAATGGTTTTGAGCATCATTTTTTTTTAGATTTCTAGAGGTCTTTTAAAGTGCTTTTCTTCAGGCAATTATTTTGCCTGCTGTTCCACTTCCTTGGTTTTTTAAGCATATGCTGCACAAAAAAAGTGAAAAAGGCTTTTACGAAAAGTTCTAACAGAGCTTCAGGAAGCCCTAATAAATATTGATTATGATGACTTTAAAAGGTGAGTTACTCTGATGAGTTGCTAGGTTACTCCAATATGCCTAATGTGATTGTATGATAAGCCAACACAGACTAACAATCCAACCTTATATTTTATGGATTTAATGTCTGAAATTGATTTTTATTAATGAATTTATTAGAAGAACAGTCTAGAAAAGTGTGGACATAAATCTTTAACTAAATGTCATTATAAATGGAATTATAATCTTAAAAAATCCTCAAAAAAAACCTTGCGTGTAACTTTTTACATCTTCAGACTTATTTATTTATATTATGTATTTAGTTCTGCCATACAATACAATGTATATTCTGATAAAAAACCATAGCTAGAAAAAAAAATATCCCACCGCATCAAGATGAAAAGAAAAATAAAAGATAAAGGGGAAGATACACGCATATCTTAATTATACAAATATAAAGTCGCCTAACACACAATAAGTATCTAGGAAGATACTTAGTGAATAGGTGCTGCTTATTAAAATATACAATATTTCTAAGGCCCTAAACATACTGTCCTCTTCCAGAATACAGAATACTGCACTTGTTATAAACATTGTGTTGAACAACTATCACCTATTTTTACTGAGCAGAGCAGTACTTTCATTCTCTTTTGCAGGAAACAATCAAGTATTAATCCCAATTCCCACAGTTCTATCCCCAACTGAGAACAACCATTATTGCCCTATTGTGAAAATTTAATTAGTCATGAAAAAATGATTAAAATGTACATTGTCTCATATACACATCAGTTATTAAACCCCCTGCAACTTGCTTATCAGTATTGCACAGGGGGGTTGAAATGTACATAGGAATATATTGCATCTTGTCTTTCTGCATGTGGAGCACGTCAGATTTTTTATTTTTTTTTTGGATATATATATATTTTTTATCAGCTTTTCACACAATCCAGTTTAATATATCAACAACAGGCTTTGTGAAGATGGAGTGTTTGGCTGTTTAACTTAATTCATCAGAGAGTTCAGCGAGTGTAGGTGAACTGTTCTCTTTTGGATATAACCATCCCTAATGTAGGATGTCCCCAAGGCTGTATGATATCCCCTTGTTATTTATTCTTTATCCAACAGCTGCTCATGAGACAGCCTTTCTCACTCTTCTCTAGAGTAGTGATAAAAGCTAACATGGTCCACCGTGGGATGAGTTTTCAATTTGGTGGGAAAGGTTGGTGTTTAACCTGCAAAAGAGATGTTGATTGATTTTAGGCAAAAACTAGATTGTCTGACAACTATCAGAGGGCAGGCAGTGCAAACTGTAAATGAGAACAAGTGTTCTGGGATGGTTCTAGATAATGACCTAAAGTGAGAAGAATGAACATAACTAATTCAGAAAAGGATGCAGTGGCTTTGCTTAAAAAAAAGCTGTCCCAAATCAAATTTTTGCCCATATGTGACCTGTATCTGATCTTTTCATGACAGTCTGAACAACACAAATGAGATTTATCCAATGCGACCCAGGTCACTTGGCTATGTAGTCATGAATCCGATGAATCAGATGAATCTGATACGTTTCTGATCTTTTCAAATGCGAGCTGTGTGTGAACGGCCAGGTCGCATTCATCCGATCTGTACGTCATTAATGCTCAACAAAGGTCCCAATTGTACGTCTTGCTATGCAGAAGCAGGAAGAAAAACCACAACCATGGCGGACGATAATGTAGAGAGCAGTCTTTATTTTTATGTCTTAAATGCACGGTCTGAGTTTGGAAAAGATTGCTAGATGTGCTTCAGCACTAGCATCCATGTTTACTTCCATAAACACAGAGCACGCTTGATTGTGGCGTCATTGCGTCCTCTACTGCACGTGCGGGACACTTAAGTTGTATGAATAAAGTTCACACAGGAGATCACATACAATATATTTGGAAATGTGAACAACCTAGCCTTAGTTATTGTTAAAATGCTGAAGCTACTTACAGGCCTTTTGAGTGTTCTGAGTAATTGTAATATTTTGTGACAATTCATAATGAAATACTATAAAGAAAAACTTGGAACTGGTCTGCAAACTGATTTATTATCGAGGTAGAAACTATTCTTGCTGATCAAAAGCTTCTTTTTCACTTCTTTGAACTGGTATCTGCAGATAAAATGTATTGCTTCCCGACTCTCAAATAAATAAGTAAAACAAAACAATGATTTGTACTGAAAGAAATTAGTTCATTTATGTTGAACCAGTGCGTTTAACAAAAGATGTCAGTCATGGTCAGGCCTAAAATGGTACAATATTTATGTTTCTTTTAGGAAAACATGTTTTAATCAACTATGTATTTAATGCATTTTCAGAAATCTAATGATATATCATAGAGTGGGCTGCTCAGTGGGTAGCACAAGGTTCTGGGTTCGATTCCCAGCCCGGGGTCTTTCTGCATGGAGTTTGCATGTTCTCCCTGAGCATGCGTGGGTTCTCTCCAGGTACTCCGGCTTCCTCCCACAGTCCAAAAACATCACTGTTAGATTAATTGGCTTTTCTAAAGTCCCCTTAGGTGTGTGTGTGTGTGAATGGTTGTTTGTCTGTGTGTTGCCCTGCAATGGACTTGTGACCTGTCCAGTGTGTACCCCGCCTCACGCCCGTAGACAGCTGGAGATAGGCACCAGCACCCCTCACGACCCCATTTGGGATAAGCGTGTTAGAAAATGGATGGATGGATGGATATCGTAGAGTGGTATGCATTAAGAGCTGCAGAGGGTGTTGTGGTTGAGTCTGTCTTTAAGTTGTCTGCGGTTTCTTGTGTGTTACATTCACTGGAACAATAAACTATTTAGTCTTGTCCATTTTGAGACACTCTATGTTGGTTTTTCTTTATAGGTAACGTGAACAGATATGAATGTTTGAAATCGATCGGTCTGTGTGGTGAAGTTATATGAAAAATTAATACGAGTTTCACATTTTTGAGAAAATCAATTAGGCAAATGTACTTTTTACTAATATTCTTATTCACTAAGATGCATTTGTGTCTGGAGATGTTTCATATTTTGTTAACCAAAACAAAGTGTTATTCATCTTCTAATTTAACTCTTTATGCCAAGATATAAGAATTATTTGTTTTCAAGTTGACGTCATATGACTGCTAACATGACAAACAGTTTGTTGATCCTCTTTCAGCATTTCTCCTCTTGAAATAATGCCCGTCAATAATTCAGTTTTCTCTCTCACACTGAAGATCACATGGATTTATCTTGTCTCTGTTTCTGTTTTCTTCTTATTTCTCTTTCTTTTTACTGTCCCTTCAGAATTTGCTGACTCTGGTGAGTTACTCCTCGAATTTCTGTGTCCCTTACCTCCCTTCCTCTCTTCCCACCCCTCGTATACGCCAACAGCAAATATGTTTGTTCTCATTCTAGCATCTGGGAGGCAGCTCCAACGTGGTTTCTTATGTATACATCTCCTTATAGCCTCTGTGCTGTATGTCAGCTATCTCCCTTATGGAGCTATATCGGTCTCAATTTTCACAAATACACATGTGATCCATACATGCACAGTACGATTCACACAAGCACAAAAAAATCCACAAACACACAGTACAAGATCCACAGCATGATTGACACAAGCCAACAAGATCCACACATGCACAAAACAAGATTCACCAAAGTATTTCTGGTCCATAAACAATTATAAATTGAATTTCAAAGTGCCAATGATCTTTAAACTTCACTGCATTTATGCATGGATTTTTGAGACTGCCCTGACATGCCTCGATACACAAATGCATTTCTTTAAGCAGGGGATGGTTTGCCACCAATCACAAAGCTCCCTTGTATAAGTGAATCGCAAGAAAGTACTCCATGTGGCATGACTGACCCCCAGATTCAACATCCTCCGCTCCGTCCTGCACAAGTATGTTGTATGGCGCACACATGTTAATCAATGAGAACTGTTCCATATCCAGCGCTACTCCTTTGAACATCACCCTCCACGCACTTCTTCTCCATCCGTCAAAATACGGAGCCCAGCTACTTTTTGGTCCGCTCTGGTCTGGCCAGGTCAAGATCCGCAATAGCAATCACACTAAACAGGAAAAAGAACTAAAGATTTGGTGTGTCAAATTAAAACATGGTAGCGACAGATCAGTAACTCTACTAATTAGAACATAGTTCTTATATATTATAGGACAATTTAATTAAATAATTGGATGCAAACTTTTGATACTTCAAAATACCAGGAAGCAGATTTCTCATCTCAATCGAAATATTTACTTTATACCGAGAGGCTTAAAAGTTTAATAAAATCCAGTTACAACAACTTCCAAGAGCGCCCTCTCACAACTTCAAAAGAAAATTCTTATGGCAGGCATGGATGAAGAGATTGTGAGTTTGGAGGTAGAGAACAAACCAATTTTATATGATTATTCCTATTACAAAGACCTACAATGAAAAAAATATGTTTGGGCAGAAACTTGTGTGATTGATGCTGATGGTGAAATTTTATTATATCATATTAAATAAAGCATTCATTACTGCAGGTTTTTCTCATATGTATTAAATAATAATATAGCACATGCTCTCCCTTAGCTTCGAGGAAGTCGGACGGGAGCAACCGTAGAGGATGTAGGCTTTGCTTTGCACAGGCGGACTGGAACGAAGCGGCGGGGATACAGATGATGTGGGATCTGGGGGGTCATCCCACAAAGAGCACTTTCTTGTTATTGGCTTATACTGTACAAGGGAGCTTTGTAATTGGTGCTAAACGATCCCCTGCTTAAAAAAATGAGTATCGAGGCACATCAGCGCAGTCTCAAAAATCCACAAACGAATGCAGTGAAGTTTGAAGACCGCTGGTACTTTGTAATTTAATTTATAATTTTTTATGGACCAGAAATTCTTTGGTGTATCCTGTTCTGTGCATGTGTGGATCTTGTCCTTTGTGTGTGTGGATTTTTTGTGCTTGTGTGAATCGTGCTTGGCATCTGTGGATCTTGTCCTGTAAATGTATGAATCACATATGTGTATTTGTGAAAATTGAGACCGATCTAGCTCCATACTCCCTTAAATATGTCATTCTCTTCTGTGGATGCTTTCTGCTTGGAAACCCCGCTGTGATCATTTCTGCATCGTTTTTTCCCCATTGTTCCCAATCCTCTCTCTCCTCTTTTATATATATATATATATATATATATATTTTTATACTTTTGGCTTTTTGTTGATGTTTTCTGTGAAGAAAAACAGAAAAAAAATATTCCCTGTACTTGGAAGAATCAGTTTGGAGTAGATGATGTGTAAGTTCCTTTTATCTTGAGCTAAGTTTCTAAACTCATGCATTTTCTTTTGTTAAATCCCTGTCAATAAGTCGATAAGAGCTTGGCAGAGCAATCGATTGAACTTTTTTCCTTTAATTGCTTTTTTCTTTAATAAACTGTTATCGTCACACATTCCCCTGCTCCTTACAGCTTCTGTGTTTACTCAGCATCAAGATTTTGCCCATCCGCTTGTCTTGTGGTCCCCTTAGTTTAAATATATTTTAGTTAAGTTTTAATTTGAGACCTACTTAAAAAAAAAACAAAAGTTGTAATGGACTGGGACAGTTTGTTTTAGACTTTAACATGAAGTTCCTCCAGCCATGTGCAGTTACAAACAAAATCACTCAGGATGGCTATGAAATATTGAACAGCACAGAGCTATTGGGAGAGCAGGGAGGGGAGGAGCCCACTCAATCGTCTGAGGCCTCTGTAGACGTCTCTTAAAAATCCCACTCAGAATTCAGGCAGCCTGCTTTTCTTTCAAGCTCTTCCATAAGATTTATCACACTGGGCTGCAAATTCCTAAGCCTATTTGTGTCTTTTTATATGGATTCACTCTTGCATAAAAGACTGTGTCCAAATACATTGGTGGTCAAAGACTGACGCATGCTCATTACGGTCACTAAGGTCACATTTCAACATCAAGACCACCTTCAACAGTAAATTTGAGATAGAGAAGGGAAAAAATGGGGGAACTTTAATGAAATTTGACTCGGGGGGGATGTAAAATGGACAGGCCAGAATCTCTCCAGGTATTTTTGATAATTTATGATAGTGGAGGGAGTACGGTAATACGGGGGGGAGGAGGCCAGCTTTCAATAGGTAGAATCTACAGAATGAGATGCTTTTATACTGCAGCACTGGATCTGAATCAATCAGAATGTTCATTTTATATAAGGTCTATTTTTGTGTTCTATCTTCCAGAGTGAAATGCTGAGAATACTAAAAATGGAAAAAAAAATTAAACACAAGAGCTGGATGCACAGGCTTTCATTTCTGATGGATTTTCTTTCATCTACATGGGGCTAAATGCATACACACATGATCATATACATACAGAAACCCCCCCACTATTTAGTTAATTTACAACATTCTTGCAAAATCCATTTACCTACTTAAAGCATGACAATGAGTATAGCTAGTAAGGCTCATTTATGTTGTTTGGATCTCTAGCACAAACCACTCTATCTACAATAAGGTAAAAAAAAAAGTTGAGATTTTTTTTCTTTGGTGAGGACAATTTGTGCACTTATTTTTTTTTAAAGCTTTAAAGGTTCAAATTAATCATTAAAGCCCCAAATTAATACTGACAGGCTGCCAATTTAGATTAGAGGTACATTTCTGACTAGAGATAAAATGTATGATTTAAAGATAGAAAGACTAAGTTTCATTTAACTTGCTGTTTGCTTTGAGCACTCACCAACTCACAGCTATGCGATATACACTGCATTAATGCGGCGGCTCAGTCTGTTCAGCCACTTCCCCCCTGATTGTTATCTTACTGAGATAGACAAGAAAGATTACTCACCCTGCCACTGTGACCTTGTGCATCTTTGTTGATGTCAGGTCATTTTCTTTTTTTTTTTAGAGCGAAGGGCACAACAACATCCTTAGTGGTCTAAGTAGAGACCAAAGAAGGTGATCTGTGTGCATGCTGCACACTTATTTGCAGACAAACTGCTTACAGGGCATAGCTATTGGCATGAAAAGAGGGCATAGCTGTTAGTTTCCTTGGAAACTTTCAATGCTAACCCAAGGACAGCCATTTAGATTTTATTTGTTCGTACACAGAAAAATAAATATTGAAAGTTGTGAGTTTATTATCTTCAATTTAACAACCATAAAAAGGGAAGGGTAAATCTTCTCACACCAGTAGCCCTGTCTGATAGCTGACCCAGGGCCACATTGATCACACAGTTCAATATTGCACTCACTGTCACTGGCCCCCTGGGCAATGGAAATGCATTTTCCATTTCTACAAATATAATACATTGACTTTTTTTTTTAACTCGCATGTTGTATCAACACAACTTTAGACTTCATTGGTATATAGCAGTCAAAAAGCTGATATAATTTGACACTGGTGTCTGATATTACCTGATATAGGACTTGGGTATTCTGATATCCCAGCACTCTGTAAAGTGTAAAAGTTCCTAATTACTCTCAGTTCCTTTACATGTTAAATTTGTGCTGCATGACATTTTTAAAACCTTTTATTTCAATTTATCCATAAGTGTGCTAAGGGTATGTCATTTATTGAGAGTGGAGTTTGGCTATATTCATGTATATCATTTTTAATCCTTGTCCCTGACATTGACAGCCTACTTTTCAGTTTGTGAATATTAAGCTGATCCATCTTTTTTTTTTATAAATAGTATCTGACTCATGTCTTGAAGAAAAGGGGTGAAAACATATGAAATTATTGACAATGAAGCTGTAATACATAATTCTGCATTTTTTAAATATGGTTTAAACAAATTAAAAAGAACTAATGGACATGAAGCAGTGTGTCTGCAAATTGCAGACACAAGAAATAATTTCATTTGAGTTTTTGAAGCTCTCATGATGAGATAATAATGAGATAATGATTCATAAGTTAGACATCTTAAAAAACAAATATTGATTGATTGATTGACATTATTGATCTCACAGAGGAGAAATTTACTCAAGCACTTAATGAAGATCCACTGGACTGAAAGCACTTTTAAGACATTCAGACAGCAAGCTTTTTCACCATGTTGTCTTACTGTTCTTTCATTTCCAACATGTTCCGCCTGTCTGAAAATTAGCTTTCCCATCAGTATTAGCTTTCCCATCCTGGTATTCAGATCCCTTTAAATTTTGCTCGTTTCATTGCAACAGTTGATTTTATTTCTCATAAATCTACACTCAAAATCCTGTCCTGATGGAAAAAAAACAAAACAGAACTCTTGAAAAATTCTGATCACCTTTAAAAAAGAAAAGAATATAACATAGTCATGAGTATTGAAACCCTTTGCTGTGACTCTGGTATTTAACTCACATGCTGTCTATTTCTTTTGATCCTCCTTGATATGGTTTTCCTACTCACTGGAATCATTGGACTTGATTAGACAAAGCAAACGCCTGTCTATAATAGACCTCACAGTGCGTGTCAGAGCAAACGAGAATCATGAGGTCAAAGGAACGGCCCAAGGAGCTCAGAGACAGATTTGTTGTAAGGCACAGATCTGGCCAAGGTTAAAAAAAAGACCTTCTGCAGCACTTAAGGTTCTTAAGATCACAGTGGCCTCCGTAGTTCTTAAATAGAAGAAGTTTGGGGTAACCAGAGCTCTTCTTAGACTTTGCTATCCAGCTAAACTGAGCCTTGTTGAGAGAGGTAAAGAAGGACCTGAAGATGACTGTGGCTGAGCTCAAGAGGACTACGATATGTAGTCATTGTAAACCTGGTAAGTTGTATATGTAGAGTCTAATCTAGAAGATAATTAGCCTAGCTCTGAGATAGTCAGTAATGTAAATGACCTTTAGATTGAAATAAATTTTATAATGGACTTTAAATCAGATTTATCATATATTTATACATTTATTGATTATAAAAAGAGAATGCTAAATCCACTGATCTAAGCCGTAAGAGGATGGCATGTGTTGATTAGCATAGCCGCTCTTTTATAGTTTTATCAAAACACTAAATGTTGCATTCACAATGAATGCAGTGTAAGAGTATCCCTATGCAAAGAGTGGGTGAGATGGGGGAAGTGGCCAGCAGAACATTCCATGTAGTGAGACAGTCACCACCACTCTCTCAGCGCACAGTGCAACGTGGCACCAAGGTGACCGCTGGGTGAAGTTGAATTATATGAACTACTCCGTTAAATCTTGTTGCAGTGACCGATCAAGGACTGGCTCTGATCTAGATTGGAGAAGTGCAGTAGTGAAAATTTTTTTGTTTTTGTCAAAATCAAATGTAGAGGAAATAATGTTGATAAAGGATGATCTTGTAGCTGGCTTTTAAAAAATCTATTTTAATTTAGCCCTAGAAGGACTGTTTGTCATCCTTCTTTACAGTACATCCAGCACAGACACCGGCCAGTTGCTGCCGCCTCTCCCTCACTCACACAAGGGGACTGTAGAATCCTTCATCATTGTTGTTGGGAACAGGCCCCTGTATTGCCTGCTCCTTTTTTCCAGCTTGGTTGCTCTCTGCCTGGCAAGATACAAGAAAGTACTCCTGAATCAGACCTTCAACCAGACGTGGCTTTTGGGGTTTGTGGTGGTACACTACAAACAGATTCTTTTTCTGGAGAATTGGGGGGCCCCATAGACATCAATAAAGACCGCACAACAAAACAAGCTCTTTGACTCCATCCGTCTGTCCGTCCGTCTGTCCATCCATCCATCCATCCATTTTCATCCGCTTTATCCGGGGCTGGATCGCGGAGTCAGCAGTCTAAACAGAGATGCCCAGACTTCCGGGTCCACACACAGTTCCTCCAACTGCTCTGGGTGGATCCCGAGGCGAAACAAGGCAAACTCAGAGACATTGTCCCTCCAGCATGTCCTTGGCCTTCCACAAGGTCCCAATAGGACATGCCTAGAACACCTCCCGAGGGAGGTGACCAGGGGGCATCCAGAATAGATGCACGAGCCACCTCAGCTGGCTCCTTTCGACATTGAGGAGAAACTACTCTACTCCGAGCTCCTCTCGGGAAACTGAGCTCCTCACCCCATCTCAAAGGGTGCATACAACCACCCTGTGAAGGAAACTCATTTTGCCTGCTTGTATTCACTATCTTGTCCTTTCGGTCATTACCCAGATCTCATGACTGTAGGTGGGGGTGGGAACGTAGATAGAAATTGAGAGCTTTACCCACTTTTGTTTGTTTTATATTTGTATTCATTTAGTTAAGAAACAGCCAGTTTAGATTTCAGCTTCAAGCCATTCTTCCATCCTTTATACTCACTCCTACTTTCTCTTATCAAAACTGCAGTACAATTCCTTTCGTAAATGTTACATCAGTTTTTGTCCCCTTGATGTTAAGTTGATAAGAATTCAAATTTCTAGTGCGTTATGTAACAGAGCCCAGTCAGCCATCGCATCATCTGTCAAGCCATCATTTCTCCTATCAAACCACACACGCACACATGCCAGACCTCTGAGCCACCCCACACCACTAGGGTGATATAATCAATGTTAAAAGCCTTTTTGCCTTTGCACAGGCTGTGAATTCTCCTGACGCTCCAGCCTCCAGCAGACAAACTGGACCCGTACACACATTCACTCTCACGCTTGGCTCACCCGTGGTTTTGAGGTCATGTCACAAGGACAAGAGTTTGATTTGTAAACAACAACAAACCTGGCTGTCTATCCTCACTTGCAGAGAATGAACACAGTGCCGTGTGAAAGCAGTCATTTTGCTTTGGAATAACTGTACTCAGGTACAGACTTGCCGCGCTGTGCACTTAAATAAAAGCCGTCTAATTTAATGTGATTTAACACTTGTCTTGAAGAGAGCAAGTAGAGTGATATTTTGTGATAAGACACATTTTCAACTCGTAAGACAATTTTTTTTTGCGCTGCCAAGTCCTATATTCAGCATGAGATTTTCACAATAATCTTACCCAGATTTCCTGAACACACAGTATCATAAAGTACATTCTAGCTTTTAAAGGTGTAGTGGAGGATGGCCTTTTTCCGGGTGGATCTTAAAAAATAAGTGGTCTTCCTAATTGTCAATCATTCTGCTGATATATCTACTGTAGTAGGGCTGCCCTAAGTGCTCATCTCCAGTTAGCTATCTTTTTCTGAGCATGCTCCCTGTCAAGTATATATCTGTGGTGCCAGTCATTGAAGCTCACTTTTCTCACCGCGGTTCTTTGAAAATAGCAGAGGGTCGTAAGAGAAAAAGTGCTTACAAATTGTACGAGAAGAAGAGAAAGACCTCAGAAGAGAGAAACAAGCTCAGAGTGTTTTTGGGAGATTCTTTTATGCAATGGCACACTAAACCAAAGGTCTGGCTTCCCAACCGATGCCTTCCAAAGGCCTTCCGTAATATTCTTCTTTTTGCTTATTCATTTGCAGAATGCTTTTCCCAAAGTTTAGAAACATCAAGATGTTATTTTGTAAATGTGACACTACCCTTTGGGCCTTTTTTTAGGTCAACACTGGTTTTGGCCTTTGAGTTCTCATGGGTTGCCATTTTTGTCCAGTTTGTTCCTAAAGAATGTTGAACACTGACCTTCACTGGGGCAAGTGAGACCTGCAGTGTGTAAAAGGTTGTTCTGAGTTCTTATGTGTTCTCCTGGATGAATCACTAAAGTTGCTTCACCCCCTTTAGTTGGAACGTTATGCAGAGATATTAGAACTCTGCATTTTCATTGCAATTCTGTAAATATGTTTTTAGGCATCATTTTTGACCATGTTGGGATAACAGGACATCTGCAGTGGAATCCAAAATTGCCCCCAATTTTTTTATTCTTTTTTTTTGCAGTTTTGTTCTTTTTAATCGTTCTACAAAAGCAGAGAGATTAAAAAAGAAATCTTAACGGCATTTATCAGAGTTTGATTTAATAGGGTCTATTGCTTTTCTTTTTTTTCCTCTTATCACCACCTGGTGGCAAGAAACCATTGGTTTGCTGTCTATTAAATGATTTTCTGTCCTAACAAATGCACTCAGGCTGCAGTTTAATCTGATGTGTTTCGGCTAAATGAGCAGACAACCCAGAACCTGCTGCTGGAAGAGAAGCAAACATATTCATAGTTGAAAGAGAACAGCTCCAAGCTGGGAGCTGCTTTTTTTGTTTCTGAGGCGAAGATCAACGTGGGAGGCAGAAAACTGTGATCTGCTGCTTCTCGTTCAGCTGTTGCTGCAGATTTGTGTTCCTGGCTAATTCATCATGCAGATGTGCTGACCGTCCTGGTCCCTGTGGCACAGAGAACTGCTTCAGTAAGGGAATCAAATTAGCCGTGGTGGTTTCATTGTTGAAATAAAACGCTGAGTCATGAGGTTTTATTTGAAAAAGGTTGCATACAGAGGAGAGGAGGACCCATCTTTTTTGTTGCACGTTGACCCAGTATATTCTATTTTACATCGCTGTTTAGACTGTTTGATGTTATTTTATCCTTATGTTATAATTTCATCCCCTTTCTTTTTTGTTATTCATACATCTTCTATCCAAATAAACTTCCACCAGGAGGCTATTTTTCAGTCCAATTCACAAATATATGACATGCAATCAAATCTTTGTTTTGCACTTATGCAGCGATGACTCGGAGAGATTTCTGTCTTTCTATTTGTCATTTCTTGTGACTGTTTCAGTGTTTTGCACAGTAGGTGACGTACATACAGCCAAACGAACCTGTGCTGCTCTGTTCACTATTTCCCTTTTCTTTGTGTGTTTGTTGCCTTACCCTGTGTCTTTTGCTGTGATGTTGTAGAGCTTGGGACTTATGGGAAACTAAAATATTATCACTCAATGACTGAGGAAGGTAAGCCCCAAACTTTTCACTATTTCCTTGTGTAATTCAGCCGTGGTCATCTCCTCTTGTTTTTATTTTTATTTTTCATTCACCTTCTCATGCTGAATCAGCACTTTGCTTCTGTTTTTTTGTGTGTGTTCTTGCTTGTGAAAGACATTTTGCACAGTTTCGATTTTCAGTTTGACAACTCTCTCTGAGATTTCACTGACATAAGTGCAAATCATGGTGTTCATGCCATTTTTTGAAACTTTTTATTTTAAGTTTGCATTCTTTTTACTTTAAAGTTCTGTTTATGTTTATGCCCTCAGAATATTTTTTGTGGGTTTTTTTCCTGTGAGAGGGGTTGCCATTTTTGTATTTGTCATGTAAGACCAAAAAGTAAATCTCAAAGTGTCTTGCAAAATCATTCATTGACATTTTACCATGTTACAACCACAAGTTTTGATGTATTTCATTAGGATTTTATTTGACAGAATATTGCAAAATATGTAATAATAATAGCATTATATGGGCTGAAAGGTTGCATTTTATATTCCGCAGACCATAAACCTTATTCTACAGGTTTGTAATGCCTATTGTATCATTTGTTGCAAACTCTTGGAGTTGTTATGGCTGTATCACTAAATTAGTCTTCAGTTTAGAATGACAACCTTATTTTAGGAGGTTTAAAGCATGGCCATACTCTTCTTATATTTGGATGTTGGCATTAAATTAGTTTGATAACTCCACTTAAACCTCCCTTGTTCTCTCAGACCTCTCTGTTGTCTTACTTGGTTTTCATGAAGCTGTATGTTCTAACGTTCTCAACATTTAACAGAATGGTTGGAGCTGTTTTCCAATATATATATAATATATATCTATATATCTGTTTTTTCTTGATTTTATTCAGAAGCATCAAAGTAAAAGGACTGAAAAATGTCACGACACAAATTTGCCAATTTATTAGTAAAAAAAAGACTTTGAAAAAATATAAAACCACATAACACTTTCTTTCCAAATCATGCAATGCACGACAAGAATACGATAATAATTGCAGTTTGTGGTTGTAACTGTGAAAATGCAGAAACTGTCAGAGGTTATGAGTACTTGCAAGAAATATTATATATTGTTCTGTTAACATTCTAAAATATCTATTTCACAGGCAGCTAAAACATCAAATATTCACATGTAAAGTCTTGTTAAGAATTCAAGAGACAAAAACAACAAGATCTTTTTTTTTTCCTTCATTGCTCTATTTCTTTGTTCCTGTAAGCCATCTGCGTTGCTGAGAAATACATCATCCACGCCTCAGTGCTTGCTTGGAGGTTTCACTTACACCAGCAGCGGGTGTGCACACCTGAGACGTACGTTGCTGAATTTGGCAAACCGGAATGACTCATCCACCCGGTGCTTACGTAACGAGCAGAGCTGACAGGGAAACAGAGCAGCTGTGTCAGTGGCAGGCATGCAGGGAAGAAGAGGCTTGGTTATTCTCCAAGAGTCTTTGTTTCACAAATGATATGCAGTTTGGGGAAAGTGTAAATTGATGAGTTTAGGAAGCTACGTTTTAATTCAGATGGCATCTCTTAAAAAAAAAAGTCTTTGTAAACCTTAAAAATATTTCCCTCTAAACTTGTCTCTATGAATAGCTTCATGCTTTTGTAGATTTCTAAACATAACTGAGCAGAACCTGACTCTTTCTCTTATCAACCAAAAAAAAAAACTGAATGGAGGTACTAAAAATGTGATACAGCTGTAAAAAGCTGTAAACAAAAAAGATAAATGATTCCAAAATGACAGTAAAATGTGACTAAATGACTGCAGAGTATCATGAATAGAGACCTGCAAAACTATTGTCTACTGCAAATCCCTCTGAATGTTATATTTAATGCAGTGCAAAAGTATTATTTCACACATAAATACCTCAGATCTTCAAACACATTTAATCAGAGAGAGAGACAGCAATAAATGCAAATAGTTTATATTTATTTTCTTCAGGGGAATTAAATCTATCCAAACCAGTCCTTTGGTAAAAAAGTAAATACCTTCTTGTTAGCTGAGAAAAACTGCATTTTCTGGAAAGCTGTCACTTGCCTTGCAGATTTAATTACCGGTACTAGCAAACTTAAACAGAATTTGTGTAGCTACATGAAATCGGCAAAACTGCTGTATTTTAAAACTAAACACAGTATGACCTGACCTAATCAATCTCAATAGCATATATTGTTTTTAATTAGTAAATTTTATGGTTTTTGTATTTATGCTTTTGTGCAGCACTTTGGTCCTATTGGTTTTTTAAAGTGTTATATAAATAAAGTTGGATTGGATTGTTTTGGAAGAGCAAAATAAAAAATAAACTTATTATGATTAATAAGTATGGACCAGTGTAAAGCTGTTTGAAAGGAAAAAAAAGAGGGAGTCCCCCCTCCTTCCCTGCCTCTTAAATACTGCAGGCCGACTTGCTTCCGTTAAACTTAGTGTTGATGACTAAACATAAAAAAAAAAAAAAAGAGAATAAAACACAAAATGGCTTCCATGGGAGAGAAGAATCAAGAACACATATTTTCCAACTCATTTCCCAGCTATGATACTGATAATTTCTTGGAACCTTTGTGTCTTGTTTAAGGTTTAGTGGAGGATGTTTTCTTCTTGTGGGTGGATCATCAAAATAAGTGGTCCTCCTCATTGACAATCATGCTGGTGATAGGTTTCTGCGCATGGGCGCTTTCAGGTTTATATGTTTGGTGTCATTAAAGCTCACCTTTCTCACCATGGTTCTTTAAAAATGGCAGAGGGTCGTAAGAGAAAAGGTGTCTACGAAGTGTATGAGAAGAAGAGAAAGGGCTCAGAAAAGAGAAACAAGACCAGTGTATTTTTCGGAGATTCTTTCATGCGATGGCTTACACTGATGCACAGGTGGGGCTTTAAACTGATGCCAAAGTTTCTACTCGACAGGTAAAGTTTGGTATGCTATTTGGAGAAATCCATTTCAAATGGGCTCATGCATGCTCTCGCATGCGTTTAATAGGCTTTCCCTCTAGGGAGTGTGTAAAGGATTCTGCATGTGCATTTATTTTAAAAGTGGAGAGGGCGGGTCTTTTAAAAAATTCATGAAAATCCTCGGATATACACAACAATCTGGAAAAACAACATCATACCATGAGTCAGACTGGATAGTATGATGTTCCATGGCTGCTCTGCTGTTTTAGACATTTTTCTATATCTGACGGAACAAGCAATTCTGTTTTTACAGCATAATTTCCTGAAGTAGAATGTCCAACTTTCCTGAAAATGGCTTAAAATGTAAAAAAAAAAAAAAAAAAAAAATTAAAGGCTTTGAAGCAGCTTTTTGAAAATCTAGACTGGACCAAAACCATCTAATTCAATAAAAAAATAAAAACATTTCTAAAATGGCAGTTAGCTAAATTCCTATGAAATACCTGATGGCATTAGCTTCTACAATGGAACTGGTTTTAGGGTTTTGGGGGCAATTTCTTTCTCACAAATGGTCAGGTTGTTTACTTGACTTGAAAACTGAATTTAGTATTTGTTCAGGTAAATATTATAATTGGTCAAACAAAAAGCAGAACATTGTGGCTGTTTAGCTTCCAATTTTTATACAAATATAAACCTGCCTTCAACCAAAAGACGACTGATTATGATTCACCAAGGTGAGTGAATTCTGGGCTTTTCAACATGTGATGCTGTGTTGTGAAAATGTGGCTCATGCAGTGTGTGCACATTGTTTTTGATGTTTTGTGTGACGAAGGGGTGGTTGCTAAAAAAAATACAAGGTGAGAGAAAGATGGATGAGTGAGGAGGAGAAGAAGTGATGCAGAGATGTGGAGCCAGACAGAGGAAATGGGAGCAGCGAGGCAGCCAGTAACTTGGGGTTATTAATGATTTCTCCTGAAGGTCACAGACAGTGTCGACATGGCTGGGTGGAATACATATTGACACCTTACTGTGTCAAGCACTGACAAATCAGCCGCCCCGACTAAAATGAAATGAAAAAAAAATCTTTTGCATTGATTTCAGTGGGGAAATCAGTAACAGAGAAAACAGACATGCAGGGTAAACTATGCAGATATTCTGGATCCTGCATGGAAGCACATGATTTCTTCTTACCTAAAAGAACTTGTTTTGCTAAGTACATATAGTCAGCAGCACGCAACTATTAAAACCCAAATTATTGTCTGAGCGGAGCATGTTTTAAAGTTGTTGGAAATATTTTTGACAAAGGTTTTCTTTAACCTAGATGATTTTTTTTTGGGGATGTTTGCACAGTCTTCTCATTTGTGTTGTTTTTTTGTATGTGAATGATACAGAATCTCACTGTCAACATGTTATTATTTTATTTTGAAGGGGGCCAGTTTTGTTTCCTCTTGTGAGCAGATGGGGTAAAATAAAGCCTTAATGATTCCAGGACTGCATATGGACTCCAGAAGACAGAATTTAATCACAAAGGATTTCTTTATGACCTCCATCTAAGGGCATTGCAATCATAAGATATATCATTTTATTTTGATGCTTTGTTGTTTGAAAACACGCTAGTGTATAACTGGTTACCTTTGTCCTGTGCTTCTAAGATCCACAATAGTTCCATGGTGAAAGTGAAGAGGTGAGGCTTACTAGCTTCTAACATGCTTAAAAAGTAACCTCTGTGGATTCTCCATTTCTTTTCTGTGCATGCAGGTAAATTTCGTGAAAAGGCATCTATCCTTCACAAGATTGCTAAAAAGAAATGCCAAGTGGAGGACAGCGAGAAGGCCAATGGTGTGGCAAGCCGTGCAGGTAAAAACCTCAGTTTTTACAAGAACGCACATTACCTCTATCCTTTTGACAATGTCACTATGTGATGTCGATCCCCTAACAGGATACTGAGGGAAAATAAAGATAGAGCTAGCTCAGCCAGATCTGCTGAAGTATATCTGAAATAGAATAGAATCCATGTACTGTCCAGGTGAGGTTCTAGGATCTCGGGAAGGATTCTCTTTCTTGAAAGGTTACTTTATTGAATGACTACAGTAATGTTCTCTTGGACTTTATTATGGGTTATTCTCTTAATATCTTGAATTTGTGTTTTTTTTTTTTTTTTCATAATAAAAAAAAGGGAATCTTTTAGTATGGGCCTAAAAGTAGTTAGTTAGTGGAGTAGAAAAGGTTTATTAAAAAAGAAAAACAAAAAAAACCTACATGCAGGCTTGACATGAACGAGGCCTGGAGCATAGACATAGGCAGGCTTGTCATAAACAGAATTAGATAATAATCCAGCAAGTAACCCTGAGAAATGGGAAGCATTTATAGCTGGGGGAACAGGTGGCTGGCATGGGAGTAATGATGAGGCAAAGGTCTGAATGGACTGAATTAGCTTGATTGCAAGGTGACTATAGCTGGAGGTGGAGCTGATAACAGGGAAAACTACAAAACATGAGGAAAACACAAGCAGAGACCTAGCAGGGGTAACCTAATATGGAAAGCATTTTTCAAATGATGAGCTATTAACTATGATGAACTATGACTAAACTAAGCAATACTTAAAGATTGCATCACCCTCTTTTCCAGCATCACTGCCTTTTTTAAATTTCTGCTTTCATTTTTGTGCAAATGCATCTATGCTTAAATCACATTCTCTTACATGCTATACATACAGAAAAACTATATATACACAATAAATCAAATTACAACTGGCAATTATCACAATTTTCACATGTTATTGAAATAAACCATCAATAGTATTCAAATAGAAAAAAAAAAACAAGAGCAGGGAAGATTAGTGTGATGGTGAATACAGAAGTCAATTAAGCAAGAAGCCCAGCTAAGACGACCGCAATCCTCTACTATACAACCACAGCTCCACCACATTAACATCATCAGTAGCCGTTCAGATTCAATATGCATCTAATAACCAGATAGAATAGCACATTAAGCATGCAAATGAAATATATCACACTCCCCAGAGATGCTGATTATTCATACCATACCATACCATACCAACTTTATTTATGAAGCACTTTATGCACCGGACAGGACCAAAGTGCTGTACAAAATCATAAAATACAATAAAATTATAAAATAGAGACAAAATCCACTCTTCTGTCTTTGGGCAGGAAGTCTTAGTATGCCATTTAGTATCAGCCAACGAGACCAGAAAAACTTCTTATAAAAGCAAATCTAAAAATCAGATTGTCGCTAGCTTAACTTGGCTGTAAACACCTTATTCTAACTGACCAATCGGAGGAAGTTCGAGTAGCCTGCTAGCTCGCCCTGTGGGACAAATCTGAAATCTGATTGGATGAAGAAAACATTCCTCACTAATTTTGTTAAGGTGACATCAGCCATTACTGCTGATTATGAAAGCCCTGGGCAGATTCAATTGACATAGCAACGAACTAAAATAATATATATAACAACCACATAAATGTAATGGAAGCAGCACAGTCAAGCGAAACGCTACAAAATTAAGAGAATGAATTGTTTGGAATGAATTTATACAGTCGGCTGCTCAGTGTCACAGTGGGTAGCAATGCTGCCTTGCAGCAAGAAGGTTGCGGGTTCAGTTCATGCTTTCTGCATTTATTTCCATGCTTTCTGCATGGAGTTTGCATGTTCTCCCTGTGCATGTGCGGGTTCTCTCCGGGTACTCCGGCTTCCTCTTACACGACCTCACTCGGGATAAATCGTGTCAGGTAATGGATGGATGGATGGAAATTAATACAGTTTGATAGAAGAAATTTTAAGTTTAGGTCATGAATGTCAGTTAGTGGTTCTAGTTGATTTTAGGCCAACAAAGAAGGCTTTGAAGGCCATGACCGCCCACCACTGTTGAAATAGTCATTACAATTTTAAACAAATTATCCCCATTACATACTATATCGCTCCTACACGGCCCTACTTAATATTATATTAGATGAATTGTTGGGCGTCAGAAGTCTCTTAACTGTTGCCTTAAGAGAAAGGAATGGGAAAAGGTTTGGGTCTAATGGTCTAGACTGCATGGTCTAAACTGTTTTCACATCTTTCTCCTGTTTAAGCCTTAAATTCTTGGTTTCCCCTAGCCCCCTTTAAAGTAAACTATAATAAGACTTCACTAGCATTAAAAAAACTACATGAATAATCCTCTCAGAATCTCAAAGACATGTTTTGGGTACTTCCTATCATCCTTGATAAATGTGAAAGTCCCTTAGATATCTAGAGCATGCAAATAACTTTCATATGAAATAAGTGGTTGTTATAACTATGTGTAGTTGATCATCAGAGAATGTATATTAGGGTGGAAGCCCTCCAATAAATAATTGTTAGGCCTTCTGTACGGCTGCATGTATGCTCATCCCAGTTTGTCTCTGCCCTGGCCTCCAAGTTATATGGCCTCACTAAGTGGCTGCAACAGCCTATCCACAATCTTCATGGTACAATACCACAATAAAGCCACTTTAAATGGAGAATCCTATATGTAGGCTCCCATTACAATATAGGGCTCCAAGCTGCGGAGGGCGAAGACCAGCACAACTTCTGCAAGTGTGGTTATATAAAACATAGCTCCAAATTGTGGGTAGGGTTTGTTAGGAGTTGGGAGTTTTCCGTTGCTAAAGGTTTTGACTTTAGAACAAAAAGGAAGCCCTGGTAAATGTTTCAGAACATTTTGCATTTTTTTTTATCTCACAAATCTCACTGGTAAGACATCCTAGATAGCATTCTCCAAACTGCTTGCAAACCTCAGTTCTTTGAAACTCACTCAACCTTGATCTTTATTTAAAGAGAAAACTTTCAGCATTGGTCTTAGAAATACACATCGTAATCTGTCATTGTGATACATTATAAGTAAATGAAAAAAACAAAACTATTTTATCAGTTGATTTAAAAAGTTTCCAAGTACATGTATGATCTCGCTGAAACTTTCACTAACTCTATAAAAACTTGCCAAGATTTCCCCACTGAAATGATTAATGAGATCACAGCCGACTCTAAACAACCATGACATTACCAAGGACAGCCAAATTGATCGCAAGTGTTGTCTTCAAGCAGCGTTTGAATCAATCACACTCACTGCCAAGAGTAATTCGGCTGCTCCCTCCCCAGAAAGCGCACTGGACCAAACAATAAAGAATAATCGCATGCCGAAAGGAGCACTTTCATGGCTTCGGTGTTGACAGAGCAGCAGAAAGATCAAAAACATTAGATTATGCAAACAGTGCTACATTAACATATTACCCTCCTAATCAACATTCATCACTGGTGGTCATCAGAGGGGTCGCAGTTCTTTCATTTGTTAAGTTTCTTTTTCTTTCTAAAATGTATATCTAGTCAGTGTAGTGTTCATGATGCAAAGCATTTCATTTGGATCTGATTTTGATTTGTCAGGATATCATAAAGAGGTGACGCCACGTGCTGGGATATAGTCATATTAATATGCTGGTGAAGATTCTCAGTCATCCAGGTCTGCAATAGCACTATTCCTGATACTCTGAATTGAAAAAGCTTCCTGTATGGGAAGCGAAACGTCTTCAAACTTGGAAACAAAGTCCAGTAGATTGTTCTTCAATTTCTTTTTTTGGAATTGTCATATTAAGTCACATTATCTATTTAAGACCTTTTCTAATTGTGTCATAACCACAGTTGGGTTAAAACAATTGTACTCAGCAATTACAGTTTCATCATCTGATTACATGGCTTAGGGCTTTCTGTATTTTGGTAAAGGTTGTTAAGTAAGTCCAACCTTATGTTTTAATGAAGGGATATAAGCTAAAATAAAAATAAAAAAGTACTGATAGTACTGTCACTTTGGCTAATAGCGAAGATGGAGAAAATGGGGGGGGGGGAAATACTTAAAACGACATAACAGAAACTGAGCTTTTATTGTTTTTCTTAACGATTAACTAGATTTTCCTGTGTGTTACCATAGAAAAGAACCTTCCGAACAGCTCCAGTGTGGAAGTAGAGGTGACCCCACCGATGAACGGAACAGCGGGGCAAGAGGGGGAGACGGTAAGAAAAAAATCAGCACAAGCAAAACGGCAGCTTTAAAGATAAAACCTCCATGCAGATTGGTCGTGCTATTTAAAGGGAGCAGATCTGTGAGAGCACTCACGGTTAAGGCATTTATAAATAGTTTCTGCCTTTGATTTGTTCCTTTATTCCTCTGTGAGTGTAATTCATGCTAAGGCAGCACAGAATATGGCACAGGCCATTGGTGTTGATCATTTCCCAGTATGCGCACCTCCATCTGCAGCCGGACATGCTAACGACCCGCCTCTTCCCACAGAGTTCTATAATCACAGTCCTCGCTCACCTGCAGCTCATCACAGCCGGGTGCTACAAACGAGGTCTCTTTGACGAACTGCCACACACAGAACCGCACCTGCAGCAGTTGTGCTGGCATTAAAGATGGCGGTAGGGAGTGGCAACCCGCCAGGCGAGCAGACGGTCCTGGTGCATGTGGACAGGGATTCAAAGTCGCATGTTTTGAAGAGAACAGAGACCATATGTGTTGGAATTTCTATCCTTAGAGCTAAAGCTTTAAGCATTTTCAAATTTAGTGAAACATTTATTTTAACCACCAGGGTTGACTCATTCATCAGAACTTCAGAGTCAAAGAAAAGTACTTTGTTGCTCCCAGTGAGCTTTATTCAGCAACTATTAAGACTTTAGCTCCTCTTTAAAAATAACCAAAATCTTCCCATTTAATCAATTACTCTGACTTATACTAGTTATAGCACAAAATATATACATATATTCCATTTGGTTTATTCATTTCAGCCACAGCAATCATAGTTATCACATTAAATCGTAAGTCAATAAAGCTTCAATTTGATTCAAGACAAGGGCGGAGCTAGAAGGGGGGCCAGGGAGGGCCACAGTGCTGCCAACTTAGCACTTTTGTTGCTAAATCCAGCAGTTTTTCAGTTCCCCTAGCAGCTTTATTTTAATAAAGCACCTAGCATCAAATCTAGTTACCTTTTTTTATTTGTAAATGGAGACTTTAATGACATAAAAGCAACAAACTCCGTCCTCCAGCGGGAGACAATCATAAGCCTGCATTGCTCTCGCTCTCTCTCACGTCTGCTGTCATCATGCAGAGCAGGCTGCCTGTGCTGCAGCAGGAAGGTAAACCTTTCCACTTCGAACCCAGATTGCAAATGAAATATGCATATGCAAAACTGCTGCTAATCCCACCCTAGTTTGAAAAATTGAATCATTAAAATAATTTTTAACTGACAGTTTTGTATCACAAAGAATAATAGGAATTTCAATCTACAGCCTCATTTTCTCCCATCTACTCCTCCAGTCTCCCTGTGTTTTTGCACTGCTACTTCGTTCTTCTTCTTAGTGTTTTTATTTAATTTTAATTTTTGCTAGATGGCAAACAATTAATTATGCATTTATCTCAGCAATTGCTATAGAGTGTGGAACTAATGGCTGAATTATATGTATTTGTCTTTACTTGTTTCTTTAAACTCTCCAAATCCCCACGTTTCTTCCTTCATGCTATCCTTTCTGCGCTGCTTGAACAGACAGCCCAAAAAAACCCCAAAAAGCCAACAATCGTAGGGATTCAGAATCTCCTGCAGGCGGATGACATGAGGTTTGCAAATTAGGTGATGACATCACCTAGCACCTTCTAGTGCATTTTAGAACAGCCAATAGCGACTTATCTTGCTGAAGAGTTGGCAACACTGGTCCCTGCCTGGCAACTACAATGAAAATGTTCATACACCACTGATCCAAGATAGAATGTGACCAGAGAAGTTATTTATAAAAATCCAGTTATTAAAAAAGGTGTCTGTCTGAGAGAAAAATCTTGTGAAAAATTTGCATTCTACCTAAATGAGCAATGAGTAAGGACTTCACTATAAAATGAACCTTAATCCTTCCAATGTGGGATGGAGGTAACATTCCCTAATCAATCCTTGCCGTCAACGATTCAACTTTTTCCTAATTTAAACCTAGAGGTACTGTCCAGAATTACCAAGGGGATTCTGGTTCCTGAGCCAATGTTACGAGAGTTCCTAGGGTTGCCCAAGCAATGAGCAGCATTTAATATTTTATGTTAGGAAAAGAGCAGAATCCTGCAAACATGGAAGCCAGCAAGGGAAAGTACCGGAAATAGTCCAAAAAATACATTATCGCACTCTTCAAAGGGTCAAAGGCTATTAATAATAATAATAATAATAATTGAACTTTATTCATCTCACATTGGAGAAATTTACCTCTGCATTGAACCTGCATGGAACTTGGAGAGCAGAGAGCCTCTCGGGGAGCAGTGTGGGGTTAAAGTTCAAATAGAAAATACATACTTATAGTTTCTCATTTAAAAGTATATCCAAAATTAAATATATCACAAGTGAAAAAAATTCCAGAATAGTGTTGTTTATAGCATAAAATAATTCACCAAGATAGCAGACGAGGCAAAATTCGTCGTTCGGTCACATTACCACTGAGGCCCTATAGGATGCCGTGACATCAGTTTAGTCAGGAAGTAGTCATTTTAGATAGCAAGTCAATATTTATTCACCTTTGCGATGAAGGTTTTATCCTTTAATGAGGACGAATATAAAGCAATCAGAGTCTTAGTGGTTTTATTAATGCTCACTTGTTTAATCAGAGCTGCTAATCTTGCGTAGAGCCTGTGGAAGTTCATTATCTTTCAGAACATTCTCCAGATAGTTCTGTATTTTAATTAGTTTAAACCAAAGTTTAACCTTTTGTTTGTA